AATACGCCCCCCCCCCCAGTGAGTGAGTATACTGTGTGGAGAGTGAGGCATTTTCCATGGCAATCTGAGTTCAATCCTTGAAATCCACTTTATGGAAATATAAACTACCCTGACAAATTGTCCTCTGACACACACACACGTAAAAAACAAACTAATGAAATGCATGCATGCTAGTGTCTAGCTTGTTTTCGCCACTCTTTAACAGTCCAGGATCCCCTGCTTAGAGAATGGGGCCACTCACAGATAGGAGATCTCACCACAATTAACACTATCAAGACAGTCCCTTACAGACATCCCAGAAGTTCATGTCCCAGGTGATTCTAACTTCTGTTAAGTTGACAACTAACACAATCACAACTAATATTGACACTTTCTCATAAATCTTCAAATTTACCCTATCTAATGAAACTATATATATATGTATGTATGTGTGTATACATATATATATGTATGTGTGTGTGTGTGTGTGTGTGTGTGTGTATATATATATATATATATATATATATATGGTTTTATAGAAAAAAATTTTCCAGTGCTATGAATGCTAGTAGTGAGGAAACGTCCAGGTTAATAACAGCATGATTTTTTCCACATCTATGACAAATTAGTGTCTTCAGCAATAGGGTCTTGGTTAGTTTGTCTGCCTGTCTCTCTATTTTAAATATTTATCTGTGAGCATTTTGCTCATGTTTATGTACCACATACATGCCCGATAACCTTGGAGGGCTGAAGAGAAAGGCCATAAGATTTCCTGAATCTCAAGTTATGGATAGTTGTGAGCCACTATGTGGGTGCTGAGAACTGAACTCATGTCCTCTATAAGAGCAGTAGGTGCTCTTAACTGTTGGGGACTCTAGTCTCCAGTAATAGGGTTTTATTATTAAGTTTTAGAGGGTAACCAAGAACAATGGCAATACCTGGTAATGAGGTAGATTGGTGGAGCTAGAATATGGAGTCCCATACTTGGCATTGAGTATTATAAAAATTGACAGCTAATGGTGCCTAGAACATTTGTTATAGAGTAGAACCATTTAAACCACACACACACACACACAGAGAAGCTTCTACAACAGTATGTTTCCATTTGGCTTTATGAAAGGTCTTTAGTATTAGCTATCTCTCCTGTCCTCTGCTTTCCCACCTATGCACACTGTTGGGGAAGAAAAGCAATCACCAGCTCAGGCAACTGTGAACCCTATGAGTTTCACAAGATCAAGCCAACCAAAACACCAAAATGCATGGGAAGGAGCACAGTAACTCCTATCTTAGCTAGGTGATTTCTACAGATCCTGCACAGAGATTTAAAAGGAAAAAAAAAAAAAAAGTGTGTGTGTGTGTGTTTGCACACCCACATGTACACATATGTGAATTTATGTATACCACATGCACGAATGTGCTTGAGGAGGCCAGAGGTCATTGGGTTTTCTGGAACTAGACGTATAGGAAGTTAGGAACCACCTAATGTGGGAATCAAGCCAAGTCCTCTGTAAGAGCAGGTAACACTCCCAACAACTCCAGCCACCATAGTGACCCCCTCCTTTTTTTTTTTTTTTTTTAAAGACAGAGTTTCTGAGTAGCCCTGGCTGTCCTGGAACTCACTCTATAGACCAAGCTGGCCTCAAACTCACAGAGATCTGCCTGCCTCTACTTCCCAAGTGCTGGCATTACTGATGTGCTCCATCAGCACCTGGGAAGCCATGGTGATTTCTTAATTCCTATATCAAGGCTAAACTTAGTAAATAATAAGAACACATGTACACAGGGATTTAGGGACTATATTTGTTGCCACACACTTGTCAAAGCTAATATAGCCACAAACTATCTTATTTGTTTATCCTACCACCCACCCTAGTCCTTTATTACTAACTCCAATAAAGCCTTCTTTATTCACAAGGTCTAAAGCTAGTAAATTTTTACCATATTGACTCTTTGTATTAAATAACTCCTGTCAGTCCTGAAATTTTAAATTAATCTCTTATTTTGTCACTGACATTTTCTAAAATTAGAACTCAGATACTAATTTGGCTTATTCATCTGGCCTACATACAATGTGTATGAATGTTTTGCCTACATGTATGTTTGTGTACAGTGTTTGCAGAGACCAGAAGGTGTTAGATCATGTAGGACTGCCATGTGGGTGCTCCGAATAAAATCTGGTTCTTCTGAAAAGTCATCGGTACTCTTACCCATTGAGACATCTCTCCAAACTCCCAGCCAACCATTCTTTTGAATATACACTAAATATTACACATAATGAAAAAGCTACAGATATGAAAACAATGTGCTGAGTTGCAACCATATCTTGGAACAGAACAAAGCACAATGCAGTGAGTAGTTCAATTAGAGCAAGGACTAGATGAGATGATGTTACCTTCTTTGCTAGACACAAACTAGATCCTTGTCATTCCTCTCTTTTAAGATCCTTCAAGATTCTGCTGCACTGGGTCATGGAAATGCTTCACAGTCTGGTCCCTACTAGCCTAACAGCTCATCTCTTGCTTTGCTTTGACTTCACATCCAATGACTCAGCCATTTATAATCAAGCACTGCTCTGATACTATGCTGAGTATTGTCACAATACATAGCACTTTTACACCCAGTAACTGGAAGGAGTACCTCCTTAATGTATAACAACAAAAATCCTTTCTGAAACCTTTATATCTGCCAATGTAGTTTCTATACAACTTGCTAACATATTGTTTTATGATTTGGTTTTCTGTTTGTACCAGAGACAATGGTATCTTTAGAGACAGAAATCACATTCTACTCCTTGTAACCTTCCCTAAACTTGACATCAGTAAATATTCAAGAAACAGTTGAATATCAAAATGTATTAATAAGGCAAGAAATAGTGGCACATCCATATAATTCTATCACTTGGAAGACTGAGGCAAGATACTATATACTGAACAATGTTTCAAAAAAGGTGAAGGCTAAAATAAGTAAGAGTAGGGAGGGGACTAATCCTGCCGGTATTTTTCTTGTTTGGGTTCTGTATTCTTAAACAGTATTATTGCCACATAAGGAAAGAACAAATGAAGTACACTTTGCCCCTTCCATCTAGCAATCTGACAGTCTACTTAATAACTAATTAAAAATACTCAGAAAACTCCCTGCACTTAAAAGGAGAAGCACCAGGACACACATCTGCAATGCCAGCATCTGGGAGATAAAAGCAAGAATCAGAGGTCTGCTGGATGGATGCGGTGAATGACTTTAATCCCAGCACTTGGGAGACAGGGGCAGATGAATATGAGTTTAAGGCCAACCTGGTCTAAAGAAGTGAGTTCCAGGACAGTCAGGGCTACACAAAGAAACCCTGTCTAGAAAAACAAACAAACAAACAAACAAACAAACAACAACAACAACAACAACAAATCAGAGGTCCAATGACAGCCTAGGCTACACAGTAAGTCTGAGAGCAGCCTGAGCAAATAAAAACATCCCATTAAAAAATATATATATATGAAGCCACTAGCAGGTAAACAAGTGAACACTTTTACTTTAGACAGTGATCAATATAATGAATTTTTACAAAGGAATTGGGGTTCAGTGAGATGGCTCAGCAGGTAAAGTTCTTGCCTTACAAGAATGACCGCACAAATTTGATCCCTGAGTTCCTTCCCTCCTCTCAGTTTTTCTAGAAAGTTTCTTTATGTAGCTCTGGCTATACTGGAACTTGATTTGTAGACCAGGCTGGCCTTAAACTCAGAGATCCACCTCTGCTTCCTGAGTACTGGGATTAAAGGCATACACTTAAACACCGGGCTCAGAGAGATAGTCTTTTTGTTTATTTTGGTTTTTGTGACAGGGTTTCTCTGTGTAGCTCTGGCTGGCCTGAAACCCACTCTGTAGATAAGGCTGGCCTTGAACTCACAGAGATCTGCCTATCTCTGCCTCGAAAGTGCTGGGATTAAGAGTGTGTACCAACATGCCTGGCCCATATTTTAAAAAAAAAAAAAAAAATTAAAAATAAATACCAAAAGTATCCTACTAATTTATCTTTTTAATTGAATAGATTTTTCTATTTTCATGTAAGTTTGTAGTATAAATCCTAGACTTTAAGAAAACAAATTTCCAGTGCTACTAGCTAAGGTTTTTCTTGGTCTTCATAGAAAATTAAGCCTTTTGGGGGGGGGGGCTCTGAGAATACACAAGTTTAAGCATTAGAAAATGCTTTTCAGTGGAAATTTTGTAATGTTTATTCCATAACATATCTAATATACAAGCAGTTAAGTCAATCCCAAATGAATGAATATTTGCAAAAACTAGTTGCTGAAGCAACTGAATAGTTGCTAGGAAGGCATACAGTATGAAATTATACATCTTCTACTCTCAGTAGCATCTGGCTCAGCTAATCCAAACATGAACACATCTCTAAATATGAAGGCCTTCATTTCAGGTTGCTGGCCTTCTATAATTAAAAATAAATTCATTCTTAGCATTTTCAAATTCAATTCTTTACCTGGAGATATATAGCTAGTATAATGGTTTCTCTAAGGATTTAAAAAGATAATCATAGGCATAAAAAAATTTCTTTCCCTTTTGCAGGATCATCAAGAGTGGCAGAGATCATCCCATGTTCCTACCCTCACAACTGTCTAAAAGTCAAAGTTTCTTATGATGAATTTTCATATTAATAATCCATATGGGAGTTTCAGGACAGCCAGAGCTACACAGGAAAACTGTCCTGAAGAAAAAAAAAGTGATAATAATACAAAATAAACTTTAAAAAAATTTTAAAAATTAATAAAGACATAGTCTAACTTGATGGAAAATTTAAAATCCTATCACACATAAAGAAAGGGAAGCCTTGGATAATAGTATCATGACTGATAATAACTCTAACTGCCTTTACAAAATCCTTATTTCTTATGCTCTTAAGTCCTACTTAAGAGAAAGTTCTCACTAAAGCATCACCGGTTTATATGAAACACACCAGAGAGTACAGCAATTGTTACTGTTGCTAGTAGAAGTGACAGACATAACCAAGATCTTACCTAATCTAAGCTCTCCGAAGTTCCCACATCCTATCTTCTTGCCAACCCTGAAGTTGGGTCCCACCATGAGAACCCCAGAGGATGCTGAGGTGCCAGATGGTCTAGAACAGTGTGTATTCCTTTGTGCCATAGTTTTAGTTGTCCGCTGTCTATCATCTTTTTCCCTGTTAGAATGGTCCATGATCCTACACCACAGTCTCTGAACAATGAGTGACCTTAGTGTGTATACTTCTCTTCAACACAGAAGTATGTCCAAATCAACTGCAGTCAGAGGGTGAGAATGAGTTTTGGCACCATATTTATGCTTCTAGTGTACTTCCAGGAGATGAAAAACCACTGATTAGGTCTTGAAGAACATGTAGTCTGTAGGTCTCAAGCATAGGAGGACATTTTGTAACCTGGATAAAATACAGAAAAACACAGTTAAAAACTAATTCGGAGGTGGGGGTGGGATGGGGTGGAGTTTCAAGACAGGGTTTCTCTGTGTAGCCCTAGCTGTCCTGGAACTCTTTCTGTAGATCAGGCAGGCTAGCCTTGACTCATAGAAATCTGCCATCCTGTGCCTCCCAAGTGTTAGTGTTAGTATTTAGGCATTTTACTGGCCTGCCTCTGGAGTTCTGACAAGATCTCAGCTGCTGCCACTAAGAGCACCACCTGGGCCTATTTATGTTCCCTTTTAAAAGGGCCCTGCCCACCTCCCATTCCTCTCCCTCTCTCCCACTGCTCCTGTCCCAGAAGGCCAGTTTCAACTGAATCCCCTTCCCCCCTTTTATGATCCTTTCCCCTTAATTTAAAAAACAAAACAAAACAAAACAAACCCCCTCTGCTTGAATTTCGTTGCATGATGTCTTTCTCTCGAGGCACTTTTTAAAAATTATAACAGTTAGGCCTAAAGGCATGTGCCACCATGCCCTAAAAAAACTAAATTTTAGAACAAACTGAGAAAGTCACTAATTAGAATGGATCCTATCCAATGGTAAAGCACAATGATCTTCAAAGCTCCCTAAAACAGGTTTTGGCTTTATGTTTTAACATGTTAGCCATTTAGATTAGTTACTTATGAGTTAATGCAAGCTAAGTAAACTGCAAGTCAGGAAGCTAAGGGAACACACAAAAGTATTTAATATGAAATATTTCTTTCAGTGATGTCCATGTAACCAAAAAGAAAAATATTTGCTAAGTTTTCTTAAATCACTGTGTAACAGGCTATTCAGCAAAAAGGGTTAGACCTAAGTTAATAAACAGTAGACAATTTAATTCAAAGCTCTCCTCTTAAAATTAGTCTAGAACTTACTAAAAATGAGGCTATTCAGTGTTGTTCTTCCCGCTACTCACCATTTACCAAGCACTGGTAGCAATCATGCAATTCAAAAAGTACAAGCTGGCAACAGAAAAGCTCACACTTACACTTTCTGGTATTATTTCTTTCCAAGTGCCTCTCAACCCCTATGCTTAAGCAGATGTTAAAAGATATTTCATAGAACCCCAACTCTGCTTTAAAAGAGAGAAATGAACTGAAGTGATGGACCACAACTTTAATCTCATTTTATTGCTGTATTTGATAAAACATGTACTGTGATATTATGTTTTGGATTATGTCTAGTGTCCTGGCTCATTGCTCACAGAGCCATAGTGCCTTCCTAAGTGACCACAGTAAGCCTCAGAAAACGGGGCCTCTACCTCAGCTTTATTCTGTTATCACCTCTTTTTCTCCCCAAGGCAGACCATAAAACAATTTCTCCTCCCCCAAGGTAAGTCATACAAACCAAAATGTACTCTTGTCTTCTCAGCTTTCAAAATGACCATAGAGAAATTATAGCTCTAACTTGTATGGCAGTAGATGAGAAGACCACCACCCCTTGAACCACACTTCATGAGAACAGCCTCCTACCCAGAAAAAAATGAATGCTGTAGAGAGGGCCAGAGGAATATGAGCAAGAAGCTTCATTGGGTTTTCCCACTATTGGCATTAGATCATACTTCTTTTTGTCCAGCCATATTTCTACATGCTTCAATCATGACTATGCAACAAAGTCTCCATAACAACCCAGAGACAGATCCCTGTAGACACTGAGGTTCCTCAGAGACTGCATGGAAGCCCTATAACCCCTCCCTCCCCCCGCCCCAAGCACCTCTTCACTTGCACCCTTTTTAACATCTCTGATAACCAGAAAATCATATGTTTTACATTTCCTTGAGTTTTGTGAGACACTCAAAACAAATGAGTCCAGAAGTTAGGGAGAAGGAAGCTATTAATGGTTGGTCAAAACCACAAGCAAAACAACCACAGATTTAAAAGGGTAACCTCAACTCTGGGGAAGGGCAATTTTAACAACTTGTGCTCAAACTGTAGGATCTGATACAGTCCTTTTCAAGATTGACAGTGTCAGACCCACCAAGGCCTTGCTTATCTCTGCAGAATTGCTTATTTGGTGGAAGAACCTCCCTCCACACCTTTTCGAGTGATGGAAGCCTTTTGTATGGTGTAACAACTGTTAGTACTCCTGAAAAAAGGATAATATGCTATCTTCCCCTTTTTAGCAGGGTCTCAGGGACTCACTTGCATCCGTCTCTCCAGTGCTAGAACTATAGATGTGTGCCAGCATGCCCTGCCAATTGCCAGGCTACAGCAGTTATCAATGGTACAAAACAGGGCAAAGGTTTCTAGACCATAAGCTTCCTAAGTACATTTCCATGTCTAATTCCTTAATGATACAATCACAAGTACAAAGCTGCAAGCTGACAACAGACACAAAATGCATAATCCAATTTAAGGATATATGCTTATAGTACAACATTAGCTAAGATAAGTTTATTTTTCTATTTGTTTTGTGTTAAAACTATAAAATGACATTAGAATTTCCACAATACTAATCACCAGTAAATTTCCTACATGAAAATTAAAATAAATTACTATTTCTGTTCATTTCCAAATGTATCCAATATCCTCTGGTTGTCTTTTATCCAAATCTCTCAAACAGGAATGCAGAAAGAAAAAGAAAATAAGATTGAATATATTTTATTTATATAGATCTAAATTGTTAAAGGCATGTGTATGTTAGACTGGCAGTTTTATTTTCTTTCCTTATATTACACATTGTTTTAGCACACAAATAAGAATGTGCAGCTTATATACACATTCAACTAATGTTTTGACCTTCAGATTATCATCACTAGCATATTTCTGAATGGTTTTTGTAGTTACTAGTAGATAACATAAAAACAATCAGATTAAATAGAACACACAAATAAGCATTAAATCTTATTTTAATCTTTGAAAGGGGGAAGGGGTTTCTGCGATGGAGATACAGAGTAATCATAGAATGCTTGCTTACACTTAATTTCAATTTCGAGGGCTTTTGGGTTTTGAGAAAGGGTTTCTCTGTGTAGTCCTGGCTATCCTAGAACTGAATCTGTAGACCAGTCTGACCTCAAATTCAAGATATCAGCCTAATCTCTGCCTCCCAAGTACTAAGATTAAAGGTGTGTACCACCACAATCCAGCTTTTTTTTTTTTTAAGGCTTCCAAGGAAAGCATAAAAAGACAAATCATATGAATCTACCTTTGGGTCACTTTCCATTCTTTCATTATTACCAGAAAAGGGGAGAAAAGAAATTATATAAATGTAGTAAATAGATGTGTTTTCCTAGTGGATACAGCATCAGTAATTTATTATTTAATAAATGTTACACATTATAGTGACCACATTCATTTGAACCTCCACAGTCACATCACCAAGTTAGTTAAGAAACATCAATTCTAAAGACAAGCAAGATGGTACACACATGTAATCCTAGTACTTGGGAGGTGGAGGTAGAAGGATCAGTAGGCCAAGGCCAGTCCTGATACACAGAAAGTTTGAAGCCAGTTTGGATGACATAAGATGCTATCTCAAAATCTAAATAAACAAAAATACTACAGAACAATTCAACTACAAACAAATGGCTAAAACAAAAATCACATAGTAAGAACATAATATATCTAAGAAGTCATCAAGCTTCATGTTAGCCAAAATATATTTATAAGAGGGCTATCTTTTTTTGTTTGTTTTTTGAGGGCTCTCTTTAAAGCAAGGAAATGGGCCTAAGGAGATGGCTTAGCAGTTTAAGAAGATGAATTGCTCTTATGAAGACAAGTTTGGTTCCGAGCACCCAAAACAGCTGGCATAAAACTACCCGTAACTCCAGTTCCTGGGGACCCAACACCCTCTTCTGGCCTCCACAGATACATCACACACACACACACACACACACACACACACACACACACACACACACGCCTGTATACATAATGCCCTATAATGTCCTCTTATGGCATCTGTGGGAACTTATACATAAATATAAATGTTTGTAAAAACACAGAAAAATGTTATGTTACAGGTTCTGGTGCTACTGTTTCTCTTTTCCACAAATTCCAATTAATGTCACCATTTTCATTATCTTCATTCCTTAAATCTCATCACTCTGTTACAATACTACGGTGTTCGGTTCTTACATTTTTCCCACATTTTTCTTTATTATTTATTTAAAGGGTCATACTTGGAGCTGGAGAGATAACTCAGAGATAAAAAGTGCTTACTGTGTAACCTTGACTGGAGTTCAGTTCCCAGCACCCACATAAAGAGCCAGGTATCCTCAAAGTGTCTGCACTTAGTTCTGAGTTGTCTGACTCCCTCTTTTGGCCTCCGTCCTTGCACAAGCATGTGTACCTGCACATATACTCACTCACACAAACATATCCACATACAAATAAATTAAGCCTTTTAAAAAGTTGTTTTTATTAGCTGGGTGGTGTAGTGTAGCCTTTAATTCCAGCACTGGGCAGACAGAGGCAGGGGTGCTGGAGGCTGTTCCAGCAGCCAGGACTGTTCCACAGAGAAACCTTGTCTCCAAACAAAAACAACAAAATTGCTTTTATTAAACAAAACAAAACACCTCATCTTAGCTAGGCCTAGGAATGCAGCTTGATGGCAGAATGCTTGACTAATATGCACAAGGCCCTGAATTCAAGCAAAGTTAGGGATTTCACAGGTTATTTTGAAATTCTAGTAATCAAGACACTAGAGTATTTGTGAGATAAACAAACAAATCAAAAAATAGAATAGATGCCCAGAAATGGACTGATATCAATAAAGACACATTGGGTTTTCATAAAAGAGCAAAGGCAATTCTAGGAAAACCACAGGTATTAATGAGTGTGTCTGTGTGCATGCTCACATGGACTAAGGTACATATACAAATAGAAACAAACTACAGACGTACAGAGATTCTAGGTGGACACAGGTTTATCACAAAATTTAACTCAAGCTAAGAGTAGTGTTGCATGCCTTTAGTCCTAGCACTTACTTGGGAGATAGAGGCAGGTAGATCTCTGTGAGTTTGAGGCATGCTGGGGTCT